TGAGCAACAGGCTAAACTGATTGGTTCCCAACAACAGACCTATTTTCGTGTAGGCCCGCGTAGGCACTCGCGGATTCAGCGCGTAGGCAAGAAGCTTTTGGCTGCTGCTACTGCTTTTGCTGCTGCTTTTGCTGCTGCTTTGCTGCTGCTGCTTTGCTGCTGCTGCTGCTGCTGCTGCCTCTTGTTTGCTGCTTGCTGTGTGCTGCTTCTGTGCCGCTTTTGTGCTGCTGCTAATGCTTGTGTGCTGCTGCACGCTGTTGGCTGCTGCTGCTGATATGCTGCTGCTGCTTCGACACTGTAACTGGATTGGCTTGATACAAAACTCAATCTTTCTGGCGTAAACGCCTTGTAAGCAGGAACCTGATGTGACCCGGTCGCATCAGGCCACTACTCTTTTCGAGTCACCTGATGTGATTGAAGTTGGTGACAGCGCTCTGCGTAGGCACCCGTGCAGGTACAGACAGACAATGCCCCACACAACCAAAAAACACAACTCAACCGTTTTCAACTGTTGATGCATGTTGTTGTTGTTTGCTTGAGCAGCTACTAGGTTGGAGGCCATCGCTAGTAGGTTGGAGGATAGTACTACTAGTAACAAATAATGCCCTCCTTACCTTGAGCAGCTTCAGCCGCCCTGTCGCTGCAGGTGGGGCGACTCCCAAGAGGCCCAAGTACATTTGGTCCTGTTGCGGTGGGATGCTAATAGCCCCCGCGTTTGTGCCTTGAACAAGACTTAGAATGCATTACGTCAGGATTCACGGGTGTAGTATTGCTACAGTAGCTGCCTGTCAGGACTCAATGGCTTGGCAATAAGAAACTCTTTCAGATGGCAGAGCATTTGCACTTGTCTTATTAAGATCGATTTCAATATACTTCCAGAGATTGTCTTGAGATCTTGTACGAGGGTTTGTCGGTTAGAATGACTTGTTGATTTATTGATGTTCTCATGTTTTCGGTCTGGTAGGTAGGAACAGGAGGAGCACTTTCGTGTTTGCTGTTCAGCTTTGTCGATCGACTTGTTTTATCTTTCGATGCCATTTTGGCTCAAGCTCATTGCCAGGCAAGAACATTAGGTTCATCCTTTTCAGGGCCTAGCACAGGTCTATCCTGTTCAGCTTTGCCAACAGTTCGCAGATATCTTGTTACCCATCTGGCTTGATCAGGGTTGGCAGTTCAGGGACAGCTTTCGCTTGTGCACCATCGATCGCAAGCGTCTGCTTGGCCAGCCTCTGAAGTGGAAACAGCACCGTCAGGCTCTCACCGCTCTGAAGGCGGAAGCTGCAGGGTACCAGCTCAAGCGCGGTGCTCGTAAGCCTTTGTTGCATGTGGAAACCGAGCCTGGCATGGCCATCGCTTGGGCGCTCGACTTGCCACATCCCTTGTGCGCCGACCTGTCCTTGGATCAAGCATTAGAAGCCAGCATTTCGTCTTTGGCGCAGGATCCGCTCGCTGTGTTGTCCCAGCGTGCGCGTGCAATGGCTTTTTGGGAGTCTCGCGCTCTTGAGTTGTTGCCGCTCACTGACCAGCTGATCAGCTCACAAGAGGATCCACACTTGCGCCGACTGCTGAGAGGCGCACCAGATAATGAACCTTGCCAGCTCGGCGCATGCTGTCACATTGCTTTGTACTATGCCATGCTTGAAGCTTGTGATTCGGTCGATAAGTTTTTGCCTGATTTGCTTCTGCAAGGTTTTCCAATAGTCGGGCCCATCGCCCGTTCGAGGCGGTGGGGCCCATATGATAAAGATCAACCGCGTGTTAGGATCGAGCATGCATGTTCTAGGGCCTGGGCCTTGAGAGCGAAGATCGTCTCTCGTGTTCGAGGGGTTTGTGTCTCCGAGAACTTGAAAAAGATCTGGGATGCCACCCTTGAAGATGTGGCCGAGGGATCCACTATCGGTCCTTTTCAGCATGAACAAGAGATCTCACAGTTTCTCGCTTGCGAGGACTGGATTCCGACGCAAACGGAACAAGGTTCGAGGCTGTGACAGCGCCACAACCAATCTCATCAATCAGATCACGGTGATCGCCGAGAAACTGCAACTTCCTTCGGCCGACTCGAACGTTGCAGCTCTTCGCAAGATGCGGTCGCACATGCCAGATGCAAGATTCGCGGGTTGGGTGCTCGACGAACGCAAAGCCAGGCCAGGTGGCTATTCGACCGTGCCATAGGAAGTTCAGTGTGATTTGCTTGAAAAACCCCAGCTCGGGGAAGCGGGGAAGCCGGAGTTCTTCATCATGATCGGTCACTCGTTCGGCCTCGTTTCTGCAGTCTATAATTACAATCGTAGGTCTGCAGCCATTAACGAAGTGCTCGTTAGTTTGTTCAACTTGGTGACCTTCTCCTTTTATGATGATAAATACGGTTTCGAGCCTTTTGAGACTGTTCAGTCGGCTTTCGAAATTGCTCAGAAAGTGCATTGGTGGCTCGGAGCCACGTTCGATGCCAAGAAACTGCAGCTCTCGTCTCAGCCGACGATCTTAGGTGTTACCTACAACCTAGACGACTGGGTCCTCGAGATCAAGGCCTCTCGCCGGGAAGAGCTCGTGGAGGAGATCGAAAGCATCTTGGCAGAGGACCTGCTTGAGCCTGGTCAGGCTGGGAAACCTAAAGGCAAGTTAATGTTCGGAGCTAGTCAGCTCTGGGGGAAAGTCGGTCGAGCTTTTCTCAGAGTGATCTCGGAGCGGCAATACGCTCGTGTTGCAGTCGGTGACAGGTTCGGGTTAGACCCACCGCTGAGAGAGTCGCTAAACCAGTGGCTCAAACTTGTTCGAGCTGGGCCCCCGAGAACGATCGATTGCTGTCCTGGAAAGAAGGCCGACGCAGTTTTGTTCACCGATGGTTTTTCACCTGATTTCCGCTCTTCGGATTCTAGACCTGACCGAATAGGGGCAGTGTTGTTTGATCGCAGGCTCTGCGCTGCACTACAGTTCACCCTGCCAGTACCCAAGAAGTTGATAAAGTGCTGGCTCGAGCGGAAGACACAAATCGTGCCTGTTGAAATGCTCGCCCCTATCGTGGCACTCGAAACGTTTGCCGATCGGCTTCAAGGAGCAGATCTGTTTTTGTTCACGGATTCCGAAGTAGTGGAAGCTGCTCTCGTAAAAGGATACTCGAGTCGCGAAGACCTTTGCACGCTCGTGTCAGTCTTTTGGGATTTGATCCTGAGCTTGCAGGTTCGTGCCCAATAGACCAGGTTAGACTATTTTTTGTCTAAGATCTATTTTGTAAAAAAATTGTCTATTAGATAACTTTTTTGTTGCCTAAGACAACATGATTCTTGGCTAAGACAACTTTTCAAAATTTGTCTAAGTCTATTTTGAAGAAACAGTCTTAGACTATTTTTGGCTGTGTCTGAGACAATTTTTTTGTCTCAGACAAATCAAAACTTCCTCAAAACTACCACAGGCACTGAGGAAGTTTACTTGCAGTTTCATCATAGGCATGAGGAAGTTTATGTTACAAAATTTGCATATTATTGCAGTTTCAGTCCATGTGCATGACAAACTTCCACACTTGCAGGTTGAAACTGCCTACAAACTTCCATCAAACTACCTCCAAACTGCCACAAAAAGAAAGGAAGTTCGAAGGAAGTTTTGAAAAACAGACGAGGTAGTTTCGAGGAAATTTCCTTGAAATTTCCTCGTTTGCAGCCGCGAAAATTTGTCTAAGACAGCAGATTTTTGTCTATTAGACAACTTTTGTTTTGTCTATTAGATAACTTTTCGTCACATAAAGTTGCCTAAGACACATCACAAAAATTTGTCTAATAGACAAATTTTAAGAAAGTTGTCTATTAGACAATTTTTTGTCTAACCTGGTCTATTGGGTGTTTTCATAGATCGAGTAGCCACAGACGCTAATCCGGCAGATGCTCCGTCGAGAAATGATCTAACGACGGGATCGAACGCCGGTTGGCTCACGGTCGAGACCGCCTGGCCCGAGCAGCTCGTTCGTGACTAGCGCAACGATGTGTCTAAAAGGTGCGTGGTCGTAAGGGGGGGCCTGGGCAAGAAGGGAGCGAATCCTGGTCTTGTTCAAGTCTTTTGTTTCATCACCTGTTCAGTTTAGGGCTCGTGAAGAGTTCGCTTCGTGAAGGAGCTTGTTCCCTGAACTGTTACGGTTTGTGATCAATGCCCTCTTTGACCCCTCTTTATAGACGGATCGTGTCCGGGGGTTACGTCCCCATGCTTGTAACCTCTCGGATAAAAACAGCTTGCGGCGTGTTTTCTTTTCCGAGGGTTTGTTTTGTTGTTCGATCAAAGATGAACAAAGACACTCATTCGTGTCTGGTGCAAGCTGGAGAGTGGTTCTCATGTTTTCGGTCTGGTAGGTAGGAACAGGAGGAGCACTTTCGTGTTTGCTGTTCAGCTTTGTCGATCGACTTGTTTTATCTTTCGATGCCATTTTGGCGAAAGCTCATTGCCAGGCAAGAACACCCAACCCTGCCCACCCTGTAGCGTTATGCTGCGGGGTGCCAAGGCAGGCAGGCCCGCGCAGAGAACTGTTTCAAGTTCGAAGTTCTGTCCAGATCGGGGTGAGGGCAAGAAGGGAGCGAATCCTGGTCTTGTTCAAGTCTTTTGTTTCATCACCTGTTCAGTTTAGGGCTCGTGAAGAGTTCGCTTCGTGAAGGAGCTTGTTCCCTGAACTGTTGCGGTTTGTGATCAATGCCCTCTTTGACCCCTCTTTATAGACGGATCGTGTCCGGGGGTTACGTCCCCATGCTTGTAACCTCTCGGATAAAAACAGCTTGCGGCGTGTTTTCTTTTCCGAGGGTTTGTTTTGTTGTTCGATCAAAGATGAACAAAGACACTCATTCGTGTCTGGTGCAAACTGGAGAGTGCCAAAAAATGTCAATTGCGCTGCCTGTCCTGTGGCCTGAAGGTTCACAACATGCTCCCAAAGTAAAGAGTCGTCAAAGCTGTTTTCTACTCAGGTTTGCACGCCAGCTGCTGCACTCTTAGGGACGCAGTTGACCTTGACGTTGTTGCTCCTGGGTATGATGTCCTCGGCTTTCCTTTTCGATTGCCTGGCATCCCGAATCAGCATCTCAAGATACTTTTTGGCGGGCATCATCCTTTCACTGGGTGCGGTGGCAATACAATCATTTGCTTCTGTCGGACAGGTGTTGCTTGGTCAGCAAAAGAATGCAGACGTCGTGTGAAAAAGTCTTGTCACGAAAGGTAGCCCTTTAGGGGATACCTTGAGTTTGTCTTGCGAAGCAAGTGTTGGGACGTCCGGGTCTAATAATTGATCGCTCAATTCAGACCCCTCCC